GAAGAACCTGGCCAAGGCACGTTAGCGAAGCTGTAGAGGGGCAGTGAGGCTCTTGTCCACCGTGGGAAAGGTGTTGAGCACAGGGATGAGCAGCCACAACAACGCCTGAGGAATCTGTTGTGCATCTGCCCGTTGCCTCTCGCCCTACATCCAAGACAACCTTGGGGTTGCGACTGTCTGTCTGACAAAGGAAGATCTGACTGAAATGGCATCTAAACTCAACATGAATGAAACAACGCCCACGATGATAATAAATAAGCATCTCCTTAGTGCTGGTTATATGGCCGAAAAGGCAATTTCTTTTTCAATTAGCCAGCTAAGGTAATCTGTTTACTGTGCTTCTGCCAAAAAAAAAAAGAATTGTTGGCATTCCTTTTTGCTCAGGATATAAATCTTAGCCTCGCGGAGGGTTATCAAATTTAAAATTTATGAGCAACCAGATTAAAAATAGAATCAGGTCAATGGGAGCACTTCCGAAACGCTGTGGATCAAACCCCACAGCCGGCGGTGTGGCAGACCCCTCGCTGCCGAGCTCAAAGGGAAAGCGGGTACGCGGTGCCGCCAGCGCCGCGGCAGCGAGGTGGCTCCGGCCATGCCGACGCCGGGGACCTCACCTGCCTCAGCCACCGGGACACAGCTGCTCTGCGGGGAACGGGCTGCAAAGTCAGGAATGCTGCGCGACGTGCATTTATGGCTGCTAAATGAGGGTGGAAAAGAAGAGGTTTTGCGGTTTAATTTGCTAGTTCTTGGGAGGTAATTTGAGGCACGTGGTATCTGGTTAGGAATGGCAGACAACAAAAGACTTAGGGCAAGAAAACAAGCGATACGTCGTTCAGAGTCATAATAGTCAAGGAAACAGGTATAAATCACTGTAATTGCATTAACATTAACATGTTTTCTATCGTGTAGGTCTATCTATCAAGTAGGACACACAGCAGTCAGAACAAATGCTTTTGGAGAGCAATAAAACACTGCCTGTTGCAGGGGCTCAAAGCACAGAAAATGGAGGAAGAACAGATCTTGCATGTTTAATTAACCTTTCCCGCCGCAACGAGAATGTCAAACAACTTCAGTGTCAGTGATATGCTAACAGAGGGAAAAATAAACATTGATACAAGAATGAAATACAGCAAAAGTCAACCTTCCCTGACAACTTCCAGGAGCACTGAAAGACGCCGACAACAGAGGCAACGCTGGGTTATCTACAGAGAACAGGCAAATTTGAATTTCATTTTCTTTTTCTTCCTTTTTTTTTTTCTATTTTATACTATGCAGAGAGGCAGATAACTGGGTTTAAAGGAGTGATGCCGCTAGAGCCAGATTGCGATCTGCAGGGCAGGCGTTGCGACAGAGCACGTCACTGTGTGCAGGTGGCACGTCCACCCGCCCGTATCCCATCCTCCGGAGCGCTCCCCTCTCCGGGAGCCAGCCCTGACCTGCCACAAGGCACTTGAAAAGCTCTGCCAACATTACAGTTGTATTTCAATAACGATGTAACACTTCTCAGCTTTAAAAAGAAAAACGATTAAGGAAAATTACTTTCTTTCAGTTTCGGCTATTCATATGAAAAGTTTACAGTAAGTTACTTTCCCTAAAAAAAATTTTCACCGCCACGTGAAACTTTAGAGCCCAGCTTACAGAAAGCAAGCTTTTTTAAAAAATAGATCTGTTTTCAGTACTAAATGTCTGCCAAACACAAGCTATCCTTGAAAATTGAATACTTATAAGCTAGTAACTCATCATCTTCAAGACAACAAGAACAGTATTTCACTCAATTTTTGTTAAAAGCAGTAACTAGCAGAGGCGGCTGGCTAACACCTCTCCATAGGGAACTCCTCTGCTCGCAGGAAGAAAAGAGGATGTAAAGATAGTTCCCAGCACCAGAAAGAGAGAGGAGGACATTCCTCTTCCCATAAAATCTTGAGCTTCTTTGATGAAATGCCATCTTGAGTGTGAAAACCAGCCCCGGCCATGGTGGCAGCTTTTGCGTAGGATCTGCAGTCCTCCAGGAATGGCATCCAGGCTGGTAAATTCATTAGGGTAATTGGATTATAATTTAATATAGGCAATGGTAGGAGTATACGAAAGGCTGAATTTACTGCTTTGCAAGGAAGGCAGGTTTGGCTGTGGGTTGAGCAAAACTGCACAAATGATGAGTCTTTTCATTTACTCTCCACATGGGAAGAATCAGGAGAAACATGCATTGTTTGATGAACAGAAAAAGAAATCTTCAAATCTTTTAATAAAAAAACCCAACAGTTTGAATCAATCCCAGATTCTTTCCATGAAAAGATTTCCTTTTAACATGAAAGATTTGACTTTGTTCTTGCTATTTCACTCCTTTTTAAGGTTTTTTCTTTTTTATATTATACTCAATTTTAAAAGAAATGTTCATTTAAATGGAAGCCCCAAAAGTTCTGATTTCTAAACAAAATGTCTTTTAGAAATATTTCCATTTTTAAAACATCCCTATATATGCCTTTAAAAAAAAAAAAATTACATTACTCACCAAATGCAATTCAGTTTTGCCAGGAGGGTTAGTTCCTAAACTCTTTTTCTGTGGCAAAATTACTATAAATCAAAAACATTCTTTTCATCTCTGGAGTTCAACCCAATCTTCCCTGCTGACAGAAGCTGGGCCCTCAGGAGCATTTGGGGGAGAAAACACTGAGTTTCTCTCCATGTGTTCGATAAAGAACGACACTCTATTATGCTCCTGAAGATGATAAAACAGGGTGGCAACAAAGCAAAGATTTCATGATGGTGGGGAACCGTACGCCTGCATGCGGGATACGTGACCTGCAGCCTTCTCCCCTCCCAAAAATATCAAACCGAAACTAAGTACCAAACCAACAGCCCCATTCATACCTCTGAAAACCCTCTCTGTGACTCTCGTTCACCTCTACGCGGGTAAAAGCACAGTAACTCAGAACTTTCCCCCTGCAAACTTGGTTCATCTCCTAGAAGGACTGAATTTGCTTTGCAAGACGGGGCTGTTTCCAGCAGATGTTTGGGGGTGAGCAGAGACTTGTATCAGGACTAGAGGTACCAACGCATCTTCTAATTAACACAGAAGGCCTATGAAGCTGAATTTTCACATTTATATTGTGCCCGCGTCAATGGCTGTGACGCGAGTCTAAGAAAAGCGGGTGTATTACGTTGTTGGGTGAGAGGCCTCTGCCATCTCCATCAGGGTTAAACCCCAGCGTTCCAGGCTGTGCAACCACCGACCCTTCCTGAAAGCAGTCCTCAATTGGTTATAAGCAATTAACACAAGCTGGGGCAACACATATGTAATAAATCCCAAGTTGTAACCACCACGATGCTCCACCAGAATACCCGCTTTACCCTCACAGCCACAGGAAGGCAAACGAGCCGTTTGCCAGTGTTTTCCGCACGTTACTGTGCCAATGTCCTTCCAGCGATGCGCTTTTGTTCCAGCTGCTCTGATTCTCAATTAATATGCACCATTCAGACAGGTTTTATTGCAAATTACACCCTTTTTGAGACGAGTGGTTTGTAAAAGAAAGGAATTTAAAAAATGCCGCCCAAAATTACTTTCTCACAAAGTGTTTACTGCATATTGATAAAACACCCCCCCCCCCGAAAGCAAGCAGACTGCTTACCATAAAATGTCAGCTGTCCTCGTGCCACGTTTTTCCCTCTCACATTTTCAGCTACACACTCATAGAGTCCAGCATCTTCTTGCTGAAAATTTGGGATTTCAAGAAGTCCACTTGATCTGTGTCTCCTGGCTTTTCTGGGTATCTGTTTCCCATCTGCTCTCCTCCAGCTAATCGTAGGAACCGGGCTAAATAAGAAGAAAAAAGCAAAATAAGACTCGTAGAAAAAGCTATGTGTCTTGTGCTGATAAGCTCTTGTCTGATCAACTTAACACTGTTTCATGTTTGAGGATGATGAAGAGTCTGGCACAGGATCTGGAGCAGTTTTATTATGGGTGCCTTGTATGTAATACAAATATACATAAGTATACCGGTGGTGTACCGCTCACATAGCCTTAAAAGCCTGAGAGCGTATATTAGAAAAATGCTGTTTTGATGAAGTTGAATTTTGGGTTCTGCTGTGACAATACACCCATTTTCCCACCAGTACCACATTTTATTTTGGAAGCGTTGCCGGTTTACTCAAGAAACAAGAGACGTTTTAAGTGTTGCATGAGAGCTCAGAACAGGAGATGCACAAGCACTTCTTCACAAAATAAGTTATGTCTTCTCCCTTCCTTGGGAGTTTACATTTTTGGTGAGCAAAGCCCCTGCTCCCCAAGCCCCTTGTCTGGTAGGAACGCTTGCAGTAAGTAACTCCTGCTGAGGAAAGGGAAGGACTAGCAAGTCGTGCAAACTCTACAGCACAGCGCTATGAAAGTGAGAAGCTGGAGGAATAATAATAACAGATCAAAACTTACTTCCCCAAGGCAAAGCACTCCAGTTTCACTGTTGTGCCTTTTGCAGATGGGACCGTTTCTGGGAACTGCACTTCTATTTTCGGCTCATACTCTCCCATCACCCCTGTGAACATAAAATAGATGCTAAGGCTTGGGCGAATCTTTGCAATAAATTCGCAAGTGTTCCCGTGCTAGCACAGAGCTGTTCTATACATCATTACTTGCCCAATTAATCCATTCATTTTAAACATGGCCTGTTTCTAACAGCCGTGTAGTGTGGGCTCTTTTCCCATTTACTGCCAGAGGAAAATCTGAACCAGCGCTCCACACCATCTGCCAAAGATTAAAATTTCTTCATGGCTCCATTACTTTCTGCTTTTGAATATTCAGGATTTTTGCAGGTAACTTGTGAAATAAGGAAAGCAATAATAAGGGAGGTTCACCACCTTCTAGAAAATGAAATGCGGAACAAATCGCGATTAGAAAAAGTTTTAAAAGCGCTGGAGCTAATCAAGGCTTCTATTAACGTCATGGATTTCGATGCGCGGAGATCACATACTCTTCGGGTAATTTCTTTATTCTTACTGCCCCAGTAAATCATGCGCTGTGGCAGACTCTTTATGAAATTGTGTTTAAAAATTTGTGCACATAAAAAGGCCATTACACTCATGACAAATGGCTACATTTCTAGTCACTGTACTGTCTTAAAACCGGCACATATAATTTCACCAATAGTGATTATCAGCTAATTGATGATCGCGGTTTAAACGCGAACTGCGCGGCGGTTCCTGGCCGTTGGCAGGCGAGGAGCGGGCGGGCTGCGAGCGGTGCGGGACCACACCACAGCGGTGCCACCAGTACGCACAAACGGCGAAACGAGGGAGCCCGGGTAACACAGAAATGAGACAGCACGAGTTCGCAGGGATATTCGGGTAAGGCAGGGCTGCCTTGGGGGGGACTGCAGTCCTGCTTTCTGTCCCCCTGCTTTGCAAAGAGGATGCAAGAAAAGCCTTTTTTCTTTATATTTTCTCCGCAGTTAAGAGTTTTAAAGCTGAAACTGCTCAGTATGAGTGCTTACACCAAGTCTACCATTACTTGTTGACCTGTATGTTACCTGTTCTGGCGCAACAGCAGGTTAGACCATCTTTCTTCCAAGCTGTTAATTGCAAATAAGCATTGCTGCTATGTTATGTAAAGAGTAGCTGCTGCACAACATCAGTCATCAAAATTAAATGCATTTATTAGCGATACAAATACTCTCTCCATAGTCACGTCCTGGCCAGCACATACAGGAGGAAACCCAGGAGTCTGTGTGAGCCCTCCAACATTTACAAACCATACAAACAAGAATTCCAGGGCACGCTGCTCATCAGCCCTCTGCACGTTAACACTGCAGCCCTGAAGGGCTGGAAGTGTCCATTACAGTTAACGTCATGGAAAATCCTCTCTGTTCTCTTGATGGTGACTTTCCAAATCTTTGCAATCTCGCCTAAATTTCTCCAGACGCCACGCTAAACATTTGCTGGGCAAGCTTTAGCCAAGCCAAGCCCAGCTGCTGCCCAGCAGTGCCCAAGGGCAAGGCTGGCTGTCAGCGTTCGCGACAGCAGCACCACTTTCCTGATATTGGGACTTATCGAGATCTTCTCCCAGAAGAGTATTGCCACGTTCTACGATGAAGACTGAAAATTTGGCAAAGGGAGAGCTTTTGCAGATACTCTTCCCATGAAAGAGTGATGAAAATCAGGCAGCCGCCTCCCTCGGAAGACGCTGGCCTTCAGGCTGGAGATTTACCTGAAGGAACAATGGTCTCCATCACGCCCCTCGAGATGGCTGAAGAGCTCCTCGGTGCCTGTGCCACCACCCACAGGCGCAGGAGCAGAGGGGATGCAGCTTCCCCCAAACCCACTCCACGGGCTCTGTGGGCCACCAGCCGCAGGGTGGGAGATGACACGGTGGCCAAATAACGCAGGAGAAAGGGGACTGGTCCTAGGAGCCACCTGCCCACCAACGGGGCAGCTACAAACCAGCCCTCAGCAAGCAAAATCCTGGAGGACGGCTCTTTCTTCTGCATCTCCTCCATTGCTGATGCCGGAGCTCAGTCCCCTGAGGCAAAGCCGGCCGTGCAGCGGCACGTGACACTAACGGGTGATTTAGGAAATTAAGGCAGAATGTATTACTAATACGTCATTCACCTGACAGAGCAGGAGACAGGAATGGGAGGGAGGGAGGAAAGATGGCTTTTGGGGGCTTGTCTTCACTTATTCCTCTTATTGTTCCCGTTTCTTTGCCTCGGGCTGGGTCTGGAGAGCTCTGATCCCCAGGTGACAAAAGCCCGGACCGGGATGGGAGGGATTCCTGGGGCTGTAGGACATCGCTCCCCACGGCCCCGCAGCTCTGACAATGGCCGCTGACTCTAACAACTGCGAGGGCAGCGGTTCCACAGGCGTTACGGCAAACTCTAACTACTTAAAAATCAGGACTTGTACCTGGAAAAACCGCAAGGCTCCCAACTGCAATTATAACCTACCTACATATATATAGAGAGAGGGTGTGCTGTGAGTCCTACCGTCTCCACTTTACAGGGGAAACTTCACTGCAGCTGAGACATCTCCATC